TGTGAGAACTATAATGCAAGGTCAGGTGAATTCTGGTCAAAAGTGCATTTGTATAGCCCACAACCAGACAACTGTCCCCTTTTCTTGAATGGCTGTGAAACCTTGGGGTGCCCATGCCTCTGTTTCTTCCCCTAGCATTTCCTGGAATTTCATTCATACACAGAAAGTGAACTTAGCCTACACTTTGCTCCCCAGCCAAATACAGGTATGGTCTCATGTCCTTCCAGGTCTATGAAAGTCCTCGCCTGGCTGTTGCCTCTGCTGTTTCAACCACTCTCTCCCAAAAGCAGGGACATGGTACTAGTAGGAGTCCCAGGACACCTCCCCCATGCTACACTGGAGCTTTCAGTGGAGGCCCTTGCTTGTTTCTCTATTTTACTCCATCACTGATTTCTCTTGACCACAGAGACGCTTTCTTCTCTAGATGAGTTCTCCTTTCCCTGTATACATCACTTCTCTATGTGACATCTTTCTAGTACAATTGAATTACAAGTATTGTAAGCACTTGCCCCACTGATCAAGGTATAAAGAGATGTTGCTTTCTAGTTCTTAAAAAGTAGGAAGCCAGCAAGTGAGATATTTCTGATACTTCTCACTCTTACTATTTCTTTTCTTCTGCTCTGACTTGGGACACTGAGTGGTGATTATAATTACTTTATAACACAATAGAGTGGATTATTATAGCAAAAGAAAATGTTCCAAAGGAGTATTTAAATCCATCAAAGCATCCCTTATCCAAGTTTGCTAACTTAAATGAAGAATTGTTAACAATGCACTCTCTTTCATTTGTCAAATGTCCTTCTTGACCTTTTACGGTTTCACATTTTGAAAGGAAATTAAAGTAAAATTGTCTGAGACACCATCCTCTGGATCTAAAAATCTAGCTAGTTCTGTAACTTGGGCCTCCCCTGGGCTGAGGCTGTCTATACCACCTGGATCATCTTTCAGTGAGGACCCTTCCAGAGCAGTACCAGGCTGCCAGGGCTGCTCATCTTTTGCATTCATGATGAACTCTGGAGTGAAATTGCTTTGCTCAGAGTCCTGGGGGCCTGACAGTGCCATGTCATGGACCCTTTGTTTCACTATTTAAATATAAAAGCTGTAAAACTGCTATGAATAAGAAAACAACAAAGGAGCATTCATGGAATTACAGGGCTTATCCTGGGGAAAAGACAAAGCTCAGAGTGGCCAGGCTGCTTTAAGAAGCCCCATCTCTCCAGCAAGGCTTCCTGAGAAGGCAGGGCAGAGCATAGGGTTGCTTCTCCATGGGCAAGGCCAGAAACAGAGGCCACCAGGCACGCTTAATTTAGGGAACTGAGGAGCAAGTTCCTAGGTGGGAATCCTGAAGATTTATGGGAAGGAATTACACCCCTGGTCTGAAGCGGACAGTGATGTGGGGAGGGAGTAGGGGAGAATGTACACAGCGAACAAATTGGGGTGGGTGTAGAGGTCCTAGAATGTCACACGAGGTAGATAGGAGTGTGTGGACAGGAGAACAGGAATCCCTAGAAGGCTTTGGAGAAGAGGTGTGGCAAGACAAAGAGAAATTCTAGTTCACTACATCGGGTGTAGTGTGAACTACAGTTGAGAGAGACCAAAGACTGGCCCAGGCATCAAGGCCATGGTAAATGGAATGGAAAGGCAGATATGCGTTGGAGCCATTGTGGCAGGTAGGTCAGGCTTCTCTGACAGCATCCGCACTTTCTCCGCGGATAGGTCCGACCCACAGGGGTTGGCTCCACAGAGCACAACCAGAGCCCATTAAATTCTGAGCCTGAAGCAAGAGAAATAGAAACTTTGTGACTTAGGCCACACAAGTGATATTGGCCACCATCCTCAGAGCCAGGGAGATGTCTCTGGCAGGAAGGAATGAGGTCAACCCACAGGCAGAAGTAGAACCAAGAGACCAAAGGACAACAAGAGTGCTAACCATCTCAAGGCCTCACTGGGGTTCCTGGAACCAGTTGTAGTTCTTGTTTTCCAAGTTATGTCAGTGAATGAATTGTGACACGCGTAGTTGAAAGACTTAATGTGTCGATAGTATTTGCAAGAAATGGAAGAAATCAGACAACTCCAACAATTGTACCCTGGAAAACCAAGCACCTCTAGCTCATTTTTGATGACTGAATGAATGAAGAAAGTGTTAGAGTATTGATAGCAGATGTTTTCAAATATAACATATTTAATCTTTATATACTTGCAGAAGTACATTTCCCTGTAGCTTATACCACACAATTATATCTACTCATTGCTATGAACCTAGTATCTATAACTCATGGAGAAAAAAGAAGTTGCTAATAGTGAAGGAAAGGAGGGCAGAAAGAATGAGGGGCATGTAAAATGTGTGCCCAAAACACAAATTTCCCTTATTTATTTCCCTAGAAAATAACTGAAAACATATTTAAGCTCTAGTAAAAATGGTCCTGCATGGGGTTATTTGTGGCCATTTATATTAGCACAGTTGGTCTCTCTGGTTTTTTGTCAAGGATAGGGGCCCAAAGGCCCCCTTTGGAAGCCTGTTTTCCTGTTTGGATGCATTCAGAGCTGAAGCTGGGCTGGAGTGGTTTAAGGCCCCATGGAAATCCAGCTGCCGGCAACTTCCCAGGTTGAGGAGGACCGTGGCTGTTGTGCCAAAGCGTACATCCCACATCCCAACTTATCATGTGACCCTGACCCTAGTCCCTCAGGGGGCATGGTTTATGCTCCTTCACCTTGAACTTGGGTGAACATTTGTCATGGTTGCGACCAACAGAAAGAAGCAAATGTGACTTTGTGCAATTTCTGAGGCCAGGTTGGAAAAGGCCTGAGGCTTTGGCCTCATTCCTGCAGCAGTGAAACTTGGCCACACAGCTGCATGGAGGCAATCCAGCTGCTCCAAGGCCACGGAGCTGTGAGGAAGCCCACCTAGTCCCTGGAGAGACAGCACAGGAAGAAGCCTAAGACCACAAGAACAGAGAGAGGGAATTGCCTGTCCAGCTCCAGGCTGTTCCAGACATCCCATCGGAAGAATGTAGCTCAGTCACTGTCTGACTGCACACTTGCATAGTAACTGCCTGATCAACCTCTTCCTGCATTCCTGGCCCACAGAAACCACAAGATAATTTGTTATTCAGCAATAATAACTGCAGCAGTTATACAGCCTTTGGAATGGGATTTTAGCTATTACAGGATCTTCTGGTCTCCTAGAAAATTCATCAGACTGCTAGATCTATTTTGCCAAGTCCAGAAGGGACCCTCCCTTAAAATAACAAGCTTTGTCTACTCCAGAATAAATGTCTGGAATGTCTCACATAGGCGGTCTGAGCTGCCTGTATGATGGTGCTTAAACCTCTATCAAAAGATACGATTCTGTAATTAGCAGAAGTCAGAAATAATAATGTAAATAGCTTCGATTTGCTTTTAATCATTCTTCTAACAGAGACAGAAAAAATGAATTATTTATTATGTTGGCTTTAACTACTAGAAATGTAAAACAGTACATATATACCAATGTGAGGCTTGTTACAGTCTTCATTTTCCAATAACAATGAAGAATTTTTGAGAGTGCACAGATTAGCCACTGAATAAAGGTTCTAGTAAGATTACATTATGTAAGCTTTTGTAACTCAATGTGATGGAATATTGCATTTTCTTGCCACTGAAAACAGAGTGAAATGCAGTTATTAGGGTCATTGCAATATCTCTATGTGCATTTTCAAATATAAATGGCATACTATAAACATACATCAACCAACTCCAGTGTGATCATGTTGAAATAATACAACATGGGCATAAATGAAAAGAAATGATATTGAATGGCCTTCCCAGCTATAAGGTTCCAACTTTGGCCTTGAAGATCAGAATTATACTTGGAAAACTGAGTAAATACTATGGCAATAGTTTTAATGTGAGAAAAGCATCAATTTCTTTAAAACTGACATGGTAGATGTACATTCTTATTTATTTTACCGGGCACTTCCTCTGCACTGCACAAAATAGTCAGATCACTAGCAGAAATGAGGTAAGATGTTAGCTTAAATGGGCTATAAAATGTAAATCTGACAAGGTGGTTAAAACTAAAGGAAGCAATGAGTTTGGAAATAAAGTCTTTGTAAATAGGGAAGGAAGGAGGTGGTGAAGGGAGGGCAGGGACAAGGGGAAAAAAATGAGAACCAAGACCTGTCATGTAAAGGTACAGGATCCCAAAAATGAATGTAATTGTACTGTATACCTAAAATGTACCAATAAACTCAATAAAAGAAAAAAAATAAAAAATAATAAAGGAAGCAATGAGTTTGTCAGAAAAGCTCCAAATAATGTAAAATAAAGGGGTCTTCTATGTACTATTATCTCTATGAGCCCAAGGAAATCAGGAGGCAGCAGTGGCTTCCATGTCCAATATATGGATTTTCTTCATTTTTCAAAGTGAATGAACTTGGTCCATTCAGCTGCACTCTAGCTGTATGACCCTGTGTGCGCCATACAAGGTGTGAAATGTAGACGAGGAAAGTGTGAAAATTGCTTCTTGTCGTGAAGAGACTGACTGATTCCAACAAGGCCTTTTGCAGTGGCCAAAACTCATGTGCCCCTTTGCCACTGTGGCAGCAGTCAAAATTTGGGACAAGAGAGGAAATGGGAAAAGAGAGACAGAGAAAAACAAGAAAAAAGAATCAAAGCAATTCTGTAACCTTCTAGTTCTCATTGATAAAGCAAATCCTTTATGACCATAAAGAGCACTGAGGAACCTTTGACAGCTTCTGGAGAAGTCAAATCTCATCCCTATCAAACCAGCACCCATGCCTCTTCCTGTGAGGAATCTCTTGCTGCCTTAGCATGTAACTTTTCATCACAGGAAAGCTGATTTAAAAGAAGTTTCCACAACTTCTTTCTCACTTTAGATGGTTGTTAGTCAAATTTCCATCACTCTCACAAATACTCGATATAAATCAACTTAAAAGGAAGAAAGGTTTACCGTGGCTTACAGTATCAGAAGTTCTACCTGTGGTTACTTGAACCTGTTGCTTTGGGCCGGGAGTGAGGCAGACGTCACAGTGGGGAGTGAGTGGCAGCTGGGAAGCAAAAGGAGAGAGAAGAGGGAGAAGCAGGTTCCCAATAGCCCCTTCGAGGAAATCCCCCATTGACCTAAACTCCTTCAACTAGGAACCACCTCCTTAAGTTCTCACCGCCTCCCGGTGGTGCCACAGTCCCGCAACCAAGCCTTTAACCTGTGGGCCTTTGGAGAACATTTCACATCCAAGCTATAACAGTGATATTCCAAGGTCTGTAACAGCCTGAGCAGATCTACTTGTTATCCCCTTATATCATAGGGAACATTTACACATGGCTTAGTTGTAAGATGAGTGATTCATCTTAGTTGTAAGACGACGTGCCTATGCACTGCCCCCAACCCCCACTCTCCTGGATAGACAGCAGATATACCTCAGTGTCCACTGAAGGCATCTTGCCACTATAAAGCTGAGGCTAAACCCCCATGTGGAAAGTACAAGGCCTTTACAAAATGTTCGCAGATCTCTAAAGGCTTCAAATTCTCCTTCTCAGTATTCTGAGCTCCTGCTACCACTAAATTAGTTCAGTATGTGGCTTGCTTTGTCTGCCCATTGCTTCCCCTTCCCAGGTATGAAACTCAGCTCCTTTCTACATACACACAATGCACAAGTTCATTCACAGATCCACTTATGCATGAAATGTGCATATCCTCATGGAACTTACATTTAACTGGACAACAATGTGTAATAATGCCATAAAACTATAAATAAGTTCATGGTCTGTCAGATATGATTAGAGCTGTAGAGACTGATGGAATTTCAGGAAAATGTCAGCTCCATCAGGGCAGGGAACTTTATCTGTTTTATTATTTGTTCCTTTGCCTATTTCCAACACAACAGGGCCTGGAATATAGTGTTTAACATTTATTGGATGAGAGAAAGGGAATAAGGCAGTGGTGTGCTGGTAAATGTTTAACAACTGGCACTTTCAGTGTTATGGCTTGTATCTAGATGTTCCCTGGAAGCCTCTGCACTCATAGGTGGGGCTTTTGGATCTAGGATGTGTGATATTGGGATTAAGGGTGTGTAGCACTGGGTTAGTCCACTAATTGGTCTAGCATAGATCTAGGTATAGATAATGGGAAGGGAAGATTAATGGGAAGGTGTGGGTGGTGCCCGCCAGTAGGCTTGTAATCTGGGTGGGATTAAAAGCCCAAAAGGTTGCTGTTTGCTGCCTCCTGCTTGCTCTGCCATGGACTGTTTCTCCTCTGTGATACACCTCTGCTGTGCTGCCGTGCCTCAGAGTCAGCTGACTAGGGACTAAAACCTCTACCGTGTGTGAGCCCAAATAAGCCTTTCCTCCTTTAATTGGTGAGTGTCAAGTATTTCGTCTTAGCAACAAGAAAGTAACCTAGACATTGAGTAAAGATATATGTGTATACTCTGTGTATATTATATGTTTTACATTTTATTTAAATCTGTATTATGTAATATAAAATGTTTATATACTATATATCATATTTATTATAGATTTTACTACTTAAATACTTCATCACACATAATTTATAGCAGTAAAATATACAATATTTTCCAGTATAAATTCCATATAATTTATTCATTCTCTGGTTTTTGCAAAGTTTTGTATCTATAACTGTGCTCTGACTATAATGAACAAATAAGTATAGTTTCAACATAAATACTAATTGATAATATTTTTATGTTGAGAGAAGACAGACATGAAATACTGTAATAAAGATGTATGTCAAAAATTCACTCACCCATCAATAACAAGAGTGGCTTCATTGGGGCCGGGGATTTAGCTTAGTGGTACTGGCCACCGCCTGCCGTGCAAGGTCTTCAGTTCAATCCCTGGTACCGAACAAACAAACAAAAACAGTGCTTTCACTGGTGAATCAAAAAATAATTTCTTAATAGCAGAATAATATTTTCTCTTATTTGTGCTTATAACAAAGTAAAATCTATAGAAATGACAAAGTTAAAGTTTAGTCTGTGCTATTAACATTAAATATGGGCAATTAAAACAACAGTAAATCAAACCTTCCCTTGTGTTTGCAGATTCCCATAATGTAAACCCTACCACTGATTCGAGCTGATTCCCCCAAGAGCTGTCTGAGCTGAGAGGTGGGGCTTTGGGAAAGTGACTGGATCATGGGGACGCTGTGGCTTCTGCAGGAAGGAGGTGGGCCTGGTTGGAGGTGGATCACTGGAAAGTGACCTCAAAGGGTACATCGCCCTCCCTGGCTCCCGCCTTCGCTCTCTTGCTGCTTCCTGACTGTCACAATGTGAGCAGCTTTCCTCCAGCCGGATCTTTCTACTGTGCGGGTTAGACTGAGATGCCTACAAACGAAGTCAAATCTTTCCTTCTTTAAATTGTGTGTGTCAGGTCTTGTGTCCCAGCCTGGACACGGTGACTAATACAGGCCTAAAACACATGCTTCCATTTGCCCCCTGACTTCTAGTAGGTTGCATTTTATCAAGTGCTTTTTCTGCGCCCAGTGATAAAGATTATGGGTGACCATAATCCTGGGCACATGATGTCACTAAGGGCACCTTAAGTCTGCAAAAAGGAACATCATCTATATTTCTGGACTTTATGTATTACCTCTCCTATTCCCTACAACAATCTCTGATGGGAATGCGGTCCTTGTGTTTTGGATAAACTGATGATTAAACTGGCTAAGCAACTTGTGCACATTCACACGGCTCTGAGGACAGAGATGGGAATTTGATCCACATCTGTCTGATTCCAAAGACAGCTCTTATGCTCTGGTTTCTCTTCAGATCATATAAATCTTTCTCCTTTTACAAAGACAGCGCTTAGCTACTCTCCTTACAGCCCCACTGCATACTGGTCCAGCTTGTTCCAGAACCTACCACAAAATGAATACGTGCCTTGTAACTAGGAATAAAAAATTTGGCAGATGTTTTTTCCATCAATTGTTAACAAAATAAATAAATAAATAAGAATCCCTCTTCTTTAATCACTAAAGCCATTTAATATCTTACATTATATCTCCCACAAGCACAGATAAGTTTTGTAGTTTTCAAAAAGAAAGCAGCAATTCACTCCAGTTGTCACATTATTATTTGCTGGTGGGTTTAAAAATCCAGTTCCCAGAGAATTTGCCTGCGCGTGAGGCCCCATCATCAATCCCTCATTCCAGGATTTTTCCACATGTTTTTCCCCTTAGTGACTCTTGATCGCTTCTTTTTTGTAACAGCTGTCAAGAATTCAGTCTTTCTCCCCAGTAGAAAGGAGGCGGGAGCCTCTTGTCGGTCTCCCTGCCTTATCCAGAGACTTGCAATATGAAAATTTGGTCATAGGACCTTCTGGAGACAGGAGTCACAGGAAAGGCAAGCAAATTAAAAGTAAAAATAAAATAAAATAAAATAGTCACTCCAAGCAAGTCTGCTTCTGATGCCCTAAACACTGCTCGTCACACTCCATCTTGCACACTCTAGGAATATCGGTCACTCAGCTGTTTTCCCGGAGTAGTGAATTTTTCTTTAGTTGAGCCAGGAAGCCTGAACTTGGAAAGGAGAACCGTGGGAGGGCAGAGCAAGTAAGAAAACACCAGCTGGGGACAGCGGGGTCTTGAACGCGCTCACCACATTCCGGGGGCCAAGGAAGCAGGCTGAGCAATGTTGTCTTTTCAGTCTATGTGGCCCGCCCTCCCTTTGGTAAGAAAACCGAAGTTGTATGATTTTCCTAGGAAAGCGTAGACAGCAATGAAAATTTCAGGAAAAGAATAAACCAAAGGAGACAAAAAAAAGTCTAGATATATTAACAAATGAGCAGGGCAATGAGCAAAGCAAAACAAATCAAAAGAAATATACAAACTTTCTGGAAGGATGTTTGACCAAATATGCAAAACTCATCATCAAAGATGTGTATAACTTTTACCCAGGAATTTTGTTAGTAAGAATTTCTCTTGAGGAAGTTAGTGGGGGAAGTTTATAAATGTTTAGCTTCAGAAATGTTTATCCTAACATTGTTTGTAATGACAGAAATATTGGAATCGATGTAAATGCTCAATAATCAGAGATGGTTTGAAAAAATCTGGTCTATCCAAATGGTGGAATCCTATGTGGCCATTTAAAATAATACTGTGGAAGTTATTTTTTGATGTCAAAATAAATTATTTAAATATTTTGAAGTGAATAATTCTACTTCTACTTCTAGCCAAGATGAAGTATTATTAACTAGATTTACCCTCCTGCTAGAAACCAACTAAACAAGGGACAAAACAGATGGAAAATGATTTCCGAGATAGCATGTGTAGATCAATGAAGAATGGGGATCTTCCAGAAACGGAGAGAACTTAAGTGAGCCCCAGGACCATCTGAGCTCACTGCTTGGGAGTTCCTGGGCTGCAGTCTGAGGACTCAACCAGGTGGAGATAGATAGGGTTCCTGAGTCACAGAGGAGGAAGAAGAGTAAGAAGTCCCTGAGGAGGACTGGCAGGAAGGGCGCCTGAAAAGACTGCCGAGCTGGGAGTAAGCTCTGGAAATGCGCAGAGGGTCACCCTGGCGTATTCAGCTGTGAACGGAGCAGCGCATACATGTGAGGACACCACCTGAGGCCAGGGAGAGAGCACTCACGAAGACTGAGAGCAGTACTGACCACATTAGCAGAGCCAGGAATTGACCCCGTGATCCCCAGACAGGCCACACAACTTCCCTATGCACACACAGGCTTTGGGTGTAGAGTAAAAACAGGCCTTCAGTGAAAGGGAATCATTTGCCCTGCACTGAGCACTGCTCTAATTCTGCCTGATAAACCTGAAAAGCAAGTCCCAAAAGATCAAACTGTTTCCAAGTAACTTAACTATGTCACAATCAAAGCTTAATAACATTTTCATAGGAATACCAAAATACTCAGTACACTCAGAGGGTAAAATTCAGAATGTCTGGCATCTAATCAAACTTACCAGGCTTTCGAAGAGCCTTCATAATGAGGTGAGAAATCAACCGATCTCCTTCTAAGAACGTTCACTCCTCACATGTACAAAATTAGATCATTAAAAAACTGATCTAGAGCGGGCACAGATGTTAAAAGGGGTAGGCAAGGACACTAAAATTGTTCTCATAATTGTGCTTCATCTGTTTAAAAAGTTATGAAGACATGGAAGATATAAAAAGACTCCAAACAAACTTTGAAGGTTAAAATACCCACTGTAAACAAACAAGCACAAATACTAGATGGGATTAATGGCAGATCACAACTGCAAAAGAAAGGGTAGATTCTATGTACAGCAAGAATTTCTTTAAAAAAATCAAGACAAAATAAAGACATTTTCAAGTTTAGAAGATCTAAAAGAACTCCAGCAAACTTGTGCTATTAAAAACAAGTTTTAAAAAGTATTTTAGGCAAAATGAAAATGATTCTAGATGGAAATATGGATCTATATGAAGCAATGAAAAGCACCAACAATGAAAACAATAACAATGTAGCAGGGGTATAGCAGATATGAGTACAATGTGTAACAGTAGCTCCAAGCTTGAGAGTACACAATGATAAACTTTTTTATTATACACAAAATGTTTTAATATTATTTGAATTAGACTTTGATAAGTTACAGTTGTATACTATAAATCTTAGAAACAAACACTGAAATCTTTAAAACTCCAAAAAGTTACAGCTAATAAACTGATGAAGTTGATAAAGTGTCATCATAAAAAAAAAAATCTTGGTTTAGCCATAAGAAAGGAAAAAAGAATAAAAAGAGGAGTACATTGGACAAATAGAAAAGGAGTGGCATGATGAAAGATGTAAATCTAACCATATTATCAACTATCAAGTTAAATGTAAAAGTCTCAATTTCACCAATTAGAAACAAAAGGTTGAGTGTGCATATATATATATATATA